GGAACTAAGCCAGGGCCAAGCACTTTGAAAATTCCGCACTTTTAAACTTCTTTTTGATGGCGACGACGAGAAGCTAGCTGTAGTGCTGCACAAAATTTACTAAGATGGTTTGTATATGTAAGCTGATTCTTCAATTATTTTCTTGAAGGGCTGATTACAGAGGAACTTAGGGCCACTAGGACTGAGGCTAGAAACACATAAACTGAACCCATGCTTTCAACTGCAGATGACCCACCAGAGCACATGAAGGCATGTAAAAGAATAAGCGAGAAAAGCTATTTCACAATGTTTTCTCTGCCCTTGCTTCAGTTCTACAACATTAATACTGAGAAAGTTTTGGTTCCAAAGCATTCGGGGAAGAAAGAGGTGGCAGCTCTGCTGCCTACATGTCCATTTACCTGGTACAGTAAAGACCTGATTATTTCCCCCACTGTTTCTAGGCATGCAGTCAAAAGTCCTTAATAGCAGAGGGTCATTATGAGTATGTCCCAGAGGGGCTGGGAGCAGTGCAGTGCACAGCAATAAATGTCTACTTTTTAATTTACTTTCATGTACTTCCTTTTCCTTACAGTATTTATCACATCCCTCTCCATCAATCAAAGAAGACCAAGCTTTCATCATTAAAAAAATAATACATAAGCTTTTTTCCAGGATTAAATATTTTGATCATTTTATCTGCACAGCCACTAATTACTACTAGAGTACCATGATATTTAACTGTATGCAAGCAGGCAGCTTACTCACACCAGACATGTCTCTTGCAGTTTCTGAGGGGGATATCTTGATATTCGTGGCAAATAACACACAATAACAAGAACTGCAGCTTGTAAAATCTGTGATAGCAAGTGCAGACTTCTTTGGGGAAGCATCATTGCCACTGTTATTTGGAAGGTATTGCTTTGGCAGGCAGGCCAAAAATATTTGAATATTTCTGTAAAAAGCACTGAAAAAATAAGATTCATTCCCATTTTGTATTTTTTTGCATTTCTGTTCCCAGCTCCTTGTGGTCAAAATGAAACCAGAGAAGATGGCAAAATAATCCAGCTACCTCCCTGCAAGACAGGAGCATGGATCGTTCCTGCCATCATGGCCTGTTACCTCTTGGTTGCAAACATCCTTTTGGTGAACCTCCTCATTGCTGTTTTCAAGTGAGTGACACGTTGCAAAGTATGGACTGGGCAGGGGGTTTTTTGTCTCCAGGGAATGATGGAAATGCCAAGTTCTTCACATTGTCTCTTTTCCAAGTACAGACACTCAATTGGAATCAGGGCAGAGAAGCCAAAAAATTTAAAGTTCAGTTATGGCATCATTCACTCCTGATATGGAAAACAAGAATAAAAATACTTTGCTGTCTCATTGGGTTATTGTAAGACTCAGTGGTTGTACAGAGCAGTCATACACAGTAGTAAGATGAAATGGCTGATGCCACTGTGCTTTGCTGAAGCACAAACTTATTAATTTCTTTTGTTGTTCTTCCTCTTTTTGTGACAAGGAAAGATTTGCCACTATTAGTGAAATGTCTCTAGTTAAGGTGCTGTCATATCATCTTCAGCACAGTACCCGAAACCATTTCAATCTGATGTTATTTTACTCTTCTTGCCTTCTAGCAATACATTTTTTGAAGTCAAATCCATATCCAACCAAGTATGGAAGTTTCAAAGATATCAGCTAATCATGACATTTCACGAAAGACCTGTTCTCCCACCACCTCTGATCATTTTCAGCCATATGACTATGATATTCCAACACCTCTGCTGCAGATGGCGGAAGCATGAAAGCGACCCAGATGAGAGAGACTATGGATTAAGTAAGCTTTAGACAATTTAGAGAGTGGGACTTTCCAATGCCCTTGGTAATATCTAGTGTTTGACATGCCTGAAGGCTAAGTCCAGCACCTTGATAAACTTTCCAGCAGAAAACTAGTTTTAACTGCAAAAATCTTACCTGAATCTGTTCGTTTTGCCTGCATTGCCCAACCCTTAGTTCTCCTCAAAGCGTTAATAAGGCTATGTTTTTCTAGGATTTTTTTGAGGTTGTTTCCCCCTTTGTTCCTTCAAAGCAATGGGGTTTGTTTTGCTGTTGCTAGAGGTCTTTTATTGCTGGAATTCTTACAATCTAGCACACTTCCAGATCTCAGTTTTGTTTCTGAACATACAGAGAGAGCATTCCTACTTTTTGAGCAAACAGCACATACTTCTCCCCAACACACTTTTTGCCTAGATAAGCTGAGAGATGGTGAGAAGTAATTATTTTGTAGACACATGTTCTGTCCTTGACACTGACTCAAACTGGAGGAGTAGTTTCTCCAGACGCTTTAATATGAACTCCCATAAGCCCATAAGCAGGATGGAAAATCTGTCAGATTATTTTGATAACGCTTTCTCTCCTCTTCTCTATCTAGTTCTTCATAGTAGGAGATCTCCACCTCCCCTAATGTCTATGCCAGAGGCAGGGAGCTAACGGATGTGCATCTCTTCCCAACATTAGCTTATGCCACAGCCCACTTCTCTATGAGGAGGGAGCTGGAGCCATGTGGTGGCACTGGAGATGCAAGTGCAACCAGACTGCTCTCCTCCCACTCACCGCACACTATCTGCCACAGCCCTTGCTGCTGCCTGCAGATATCAGCTTTTGCCATGGCAAATAGACCCTCTGTACTCGGAGACTCTTTTCCTAGCAGTGTACTAATTTGATTATATTTGTATTAGGTTACAGGTGGGCTTTGGCTCCCACTGTCTCTCCAGGACCTGACCAGCAGCTGTGTTTAGATCTCGTGCAATCAAAACACATTCATGTTTGCCCAGCATTTGCCTGCTTAAGTGTTTCTGTCTCCAGAATCATATATAATTGAAGGTACTAATTTGGTAATTAGCTGCATCTATCTGCTTTCATACCAAAATGCCAGATAAATTTGAAGCCCGCTCTTGAAAGTTTAGTCCATGAATTCCGCAATAAGAAGAATGTAGTTAATTTCACATGTTAATCTTTGCCAAATTCAGATTTTTCCATTGTTTCCACAGAACTTTTCATAACTGAGGATGAACTGAAAAAAGTCCATGATTTTGAAGAGCAGTGCATAGAAGAATATTTTAGAGAAAAGGATGACAGATTTAATTCCTCCAATGATGAAAGAATCCGTGTCACTTCAGAAAGGTGCCCTTTTTTTGTTTGTTCTCTTATAAGTTGAGCTGGAAATGTGTTTCTGTTGGCATTCTCACCCTTCCTTTCTTTTTCTTGAAAAGGAAAATATTTGAGGTATTTTTTACTAAATCTTAACTAAAAAGTAGAGTGATAAAAAGTGAATTTCTTTTCTCTTTTTTCTTTTTTTGCTAAAGCAAATGTTCCTAAAAGATTTGAAAATGTGAATCTTTTAACCAGTTGTATTAGAACACAACTGACATAGCGAGAAACACAAATTATTCTTGTGTTTCAGTTCTTAAAGCAGAACTTTAGGGCACAAGTGGTCAGAACACAATGGGAGAGTAAATGAGAGGTCCTCAATGAAAACTACACCTTTAGCACTGACCTGCTAGCCATTCAGATAAAGAGCGAGCCTTGTTTCAGGATGGCCTGGCTAGGTAAGCTAGTTCCATTGAGAGCAACAGGGATCTTGCCATTCATTTAAAAGGAACTAGACATTTCACCTACAGCAATGAACTACACAGAGAACAAAGGTAATAGGTTAATTTAGTGGAAGTTGCCAGTCTTCAAATTCATCAGTCCTAAAAATTAATAAATCTGTTCATCTGCTGTGGTGCTTATATGCTTTCATCACACAGCAGCTGACCAAGAGTTAAATTTTGAGGACAGACTTTGTTGTTTGATTCATAGCACTGTTACTAATAAATATTTTAGGGCAATACCCTGTCAGATATTCATAAAACTTATGAACCACTAAATACTTCATTTCCTGAATACTCCACTTTAACTTGAATAACAGAGGTCAGGTGAATTGTCACTGTAGTCAATTACACAGATATAACACTCTTCTCCTTATACATAATCTTCTAGCACTGGCTCTGATACAGCTATGCATAAAATATGTTTTCTGTAAGCAAGGAAACACACTTTCAATTTGGTTTTGAAATAAATCTACCCCAGAGCAGGATTAGCAGATGTAATATCCTTTAATCATCTGCATTACTGAAAACAGCACTCCTAAACCACATATTTTAGAAAAGGATATTACAGGGGAAGTATGGTAAGGCATAGAATGGCTTCCTCGTAAAGAATGGCCAAGTAATCCAGCTCTACTTGGTCTGGAAGAGACAAATGAGGAATGAAATGATAGAGGTCTATATAATTATGAGTGCAAGGAGAGGCTGAGTAGAAATCAATTGTTTGCTGTCTCTCCCAGAACAAGATATAGGGGAGCAACAGATTAATCTAGCAGGAGCCCAGATTCAAAATAAACAAAAATAGGTGATTTTCTCATGCAGTAAGTAGTGGAACAGAGCAAATTCTTGAAAGCTGATGAGGTCTAAAAGAAGCTGCTGATGTCAGCTAAAAGTCTGCATGGGTTCAAACGGGGACTAGAGAAGCTTATGGAAGAGAAATCCAGTAAGGGCTGCTAAATACATAGAGATCATATTGAGCCCATGAAGTTTCTGAGCAGAAAATGTGTAGAGACTGGACAATATAAGGGGGGAAGAATTACATGTGCTTCAAAGTAAAATAGTGAGCTAAATTGATCTGTGGCCCGAGTTCCTTTTTTTCTTGTGTTCTAATAGTTCAATGGTCAGAGAACTAACCTGAAAATCATAGATACAGGTTTACATCTCTATTCAGCCATAGGTTTCCTTTTGGTGGCCAAGAAAAGAAGTATGTTCAAAGCCTCTGTAAATAAGAAGTAATCCAGCTGGGACCTCCTCTACATTAGGCAAGTGCTCTAAGTCCTTGAAATGAATACAGAGCAGTCTACTTTTGCACTCTGTGCTGGCTCTGTTTTATAGGAAAAGAACCCTTATTTCTATTTGAAATAAATGGCTTAAAGCCATTCATTCCAGAAGAGAGTTCATGATTATAAATCCTAAACGAAGATAAGCACCTGAGCCCCACAGAGAAATAGTTCTTTAAAAATTCATTTACCTTAGCCAGTAGTGTAATGTGGAAACAAGCATGCCCCAGCTTTGTAAGGGAGACCCAGGTAGCAACCTCATGGTGTACAGAGGCCACTCCTGGACCCAAGTACACTACTAGGACTTGCAGCAGTGAAATCCCAGGTGAATGCAGCTCTCATCTCATAATAACTCTCGTCTCTCCTTGCCAAACCAACCACAATGCTCTACCACACAGGGCAACTGCAAATACTTCAAAGATCTGAGGAATACTTTAAAGATGTTTGAGGAATCAGTATCTTAAATAACACACATTTTAAAAACTGGATGCCCAGGTCTGTCGTTTTGCCTGCACTTATGGCCAAGGAAGTGTTGAAGTGTTCTTAATCTAAAACACCAAACTTTTTTTCTAACCTGTGGAACATTCAAATATTTAAAATCCAGATTTGCACTTTATAGTTTCTCTATAGAGACATCTTTGTACAATTAACAAGATGTAAAGCAAAGAAAACAGAGAAGATGCAAGACTACACAGTTTCTCTTCCAATGTCCAATCATTAGCCTGTAGCAGTAGACCAAGCACAATACCTACATTATAGCCATGAGATATCAGCTTAATCACCTGTCCAATTAACTCAGCTTTACATGGTGTAAAATTGAACGAGAAAGCCCTGCAAATGTGAATGAAGTTCCCCCTAAAGATCTTCTGTCTGCAGCAATCTGAGGGTGCTGTTAGAGCTCAAAGACAAGCCCTGTGTGACATACCTGCACCTAGACTACTCACTGCCTTCCCTCTCCTCCACGCATCTGTGATACGCTCACCTCTTGCTTGAGCAGCTCCTACGTGCAGCTGGATTTATCAGAGTGCCTCAAGTCCTGCTTGGAGGAAGAACAGCTGCACACTGTAGGTGCAAAGCCCAGTATGCCTGCAAGAGGGAGTAGGGGGCTAGCACTGGATGGGGAAACAGGAACAGAGTCTTGCTTTGAGGCTCAGCCTAGGTGGGTCCCAGAGGCAGGTTAGAAGTTCAAGGAAACAAAAAAAACAAGAGATCCTGTTTCTTGCTGCATTAACCTGGGTGTAAATGAACAATTTCAGCTAAGTAGTGAGTGGCTGTGCTGGGTCAGGACCACAGCGTCTTGTCTGACTCACCTACAACAAGCTGTAGTTTATACTCTTGCCTTGGAATAGTCCACCCTGGCATCCTGTGGGGCCTGTCTTGGTTCAGCAATCACCTTACTTCTTTTGTAACTAAGAACACCACAGAGATGTCCAGATTTGGTGTCACCACACATAATCTCTCCTTTACCTCATCCTTTCACATTCAGAAATTAAAAGCATGAAATAACACTTGATGTTTGTCCTTCCCTGACCCCAGGTACTAAGTAACTTGCAGGAGTAGCTCACTAGCTAGGATCTCACACAGGCACATGGAAGGAGCAGCAAGTTAGTGATACATATCAGAGGCAGTGACTAAGCAGGAAAATACAAAGCAGTACAAAGCTGTAAGGCATTTCCCTTAACTGCATTTATCAGGTTAGGCAAGTCTCAGTGAATCTCCTGGAGACCCGTGAGGAAAGCAAAGTTGGACAAATTCACTTCATTGCAGCAGAAGAATCACAACTTTTCCTGGAGAGCCTTCCTTCCTAATCACTGTGAAACTTTCAGTGGCACATTTTGACCAGCACAGAGACATGCATAATATGATCAAAAAAGACTGCGCTATTTTTCTTGAACTGGCATGAAGCCACTGAAACAATCTCCTCAGTAGGCATTTCTTCCTTATGGACAGATCTCGACTCTTTTAAACACTATGTAAAACCTCTTGTTGATTCCAAAGGGAGCAGGATCACATCCTAACAGTATTTAAAAAGCAGATAAGCTGGTTGGAGTAAATATTATTATGTCATCTTTGGTACTATACAGTGTACATTACTACAGCACCTTAACACTTTATAGTGCAATTACGATAACAGCATCCATGTAAATGAAGACATAGTTGTTATCTTGGTTTCAGAGATAGCAGTCTGAAGTGTACAGAAATAGGTTTGGGTTGGTAAAAGGGTCGCTACTGAGCCTACCAGATCCAGCCACACATGCAGAGTGACAGTAGGAAAGGTCTGTGAATCCGGTGGCATCTCTCTGTGGTTACAATGAGTTAAGTGGTCTTAGCTCCAGATGGGAATGCAGCCAGGACAACCCAACATCCTTAGCCTGCAGAAACCACCTGGGAAGATTGGCTGGTCACTTGCATCACCAGTGCTTTACCAAAAGATGTCAGGCAAAGCACCAATAGGCTGTTATGAGCTTGGGAACTGTTGTCTGTGTTTTATTTAAATAAAACCATTCTACAGTCACCTATAACAAGCAGGGTGGATACCCCTGTAAGTGACTTTCAGTGTCTGCAGTCTTTGCGGCAGTTGAAAAGGATTTTGAAGTATAAATGATGCCTTAAAAATGGACATAAGTCCACAAAGGGACTTGTGTACCTAATTCTAGTATTCAATTCAGAGATCTACTTCTGAAAAGAGTGCCTTATTCCCACTAAATCATTACGTCAATTAAATTATTGATAAACTGATGTTCAAAGGTTAAAAATAAATACAATCAAAACAAATACCAGCAAAAGCCATCATCTCCCAAATCATAATTAAAAAGGCTCGTCACAGGTAATATAAAATCTTTGCCAGGTTCCCAGTTCTGACCTTCTATTTTTTTGCTGGTTACTGAAGATTGTCCTCAGAGAGTCCACGTTTGTTTCACTATTAGAAATTTTTGAGCTTCAGCAGAACACACTTGATGCACATTTTACATGTAGCCTCCTCTTTTTCTGTTCTCATTCCCATCTGTTAGGATGGCTTGGCACCTTCTCATACGTTGGATAAATCTTGCTGTAAGGAAAAGCACAGGTGCAATGGAGGCATCACACATGGATATCGTGAGATTTGCCAAAAAGTTTATACTATCATCTCCAATATACATGGAAAAACAATCCAAAGCAAAATGTGGGCATTCTCATTTTGAAATAGTGTTTTAATTCAAAACTGTTCCTGAAGGAAATACAGCTCTAGCTGTCTATTCACTGAGTGTAAAATCATCCAACAATATGGGAAAACAGAAAATTTCACTTATTAAAATATTTTAAGGACCAGATTATGACTGTATTTCTCCAGAACATATCCTCTTATGTCCACAGTGTTTGGCTGATGTGGTTTCATCATGTTTCTAGTAGGATTACTCCCAGAGCATGGTGCTGTTCCATGTGATGAATGATTGCAGAACTGAACATCAAATTAATATAAGAAAATATCACTAATTAAAAGAATAAATATTTGTTAAAAAATCTAGGAGTGGCCATATGCAATATATAACAAAAGGTGACTAAATTCAGCTAATAACTTTGGGTTTGGAGGACATCATCATCACTCAAGCTTTCTTTTTCTGAATAAAATTATATAGTTAGGGCCCATCCAGTGTAAACACATGTACGTTATCTATGCACATCTCTGGTTACCCCTGGTTTCTGAACCCAGACTGCACTATCCTTATCTTGTTGAGTTTCTATATAAATTTCTCACTACTATCAATGCAATCACATCTGTGATTACTTTCATAGCAACCAAAAGACCATGTAACTCAAAAGTCTCTCTTCATCTTGGCCAGCAATACCACTAGTCTTTCTTACACTCTGTGCCTCTGGCAGTAGCTAACAGATCATGTTCAGGGAAGGCAGGTCAAATATATGAACATGCACCAGCAAGGTATGACTCTAGGTTCTGCTTGGGATGCATTAGTTGTGTTCAGTAGCATTGCATAGCCCTCATGTGAATGCAGGGTGCAAAACTTATCTCATTATGGACAATTCTACTCATAGTCCAGATAAAAGTATGTAATGAAGTGCAATAATTCAACTGGCGATGTTTGTATTAAAAATTATTTCACTTGTGTACACCTCTCAAAGCAAGCAAAAAAACCCAAACCAAACCAAACAAACAAACAAACAAAAAAAAAACCAAACAAACCCCAAACTATTCAGTTAGCTTCACAGAATGTTATAAATTCATTCCAGTTTTTGGGTAACTGTTGCTGCGGTGAATGTTTTTTTTTGTCATAATCTGAGCATTGTCAAGGAAAATCCAGGAGGTTTCTCAAATTGTTCTATATGTCTGACAGCCCTAAAATTGTGATGTTATATCTGTTCATCATCTAGGAGCAGTTGTTACAGAATCTGAATGTGTGACGAGGCACTCAATTATTAACTGATAAATATGTCAAAAATATAATTTTTTTTTACAAAATAGCAGTTCAGGTAACTACTAACATGAGGGAAAATTCAACTGTTTCCCATATAAACTGCTCTCTCACTAGGGAATTATATCCTATGCTTGCAATAACATTAATCTGTTTTGTTGGAGAAATTGGAAGAACTAGAGGTAGACTGGTGCCTAAATGATAATAAGATGAGTAGAATGAGATTCTTTGAAACTACCAGTTCATTTCTTAGCAGTGATTACTTGATCATTCATTTATTAAAGTCTGGTGACAGCAATACAGTTACATTTCTTCACATCTGATTTGCTGTGCTTGTGCTTTCAAAACTCACGATCTTCAACAGAAAAAGCCCGTATTTCACAGGAATTTGAGACCTGCTGTAGGGAGTGGTGTCACACTCCTCCCTCTCCTCTCTTGTGCGGGCGGGTTGCTGTTGCTCATCACCACGAGGTAGTCAGACCTCAGTGTTTCACCAGCTAAAGTTCTGTGCATTAATTAACACGGCATTAATGCTGCCCAATACTCATTCATTGCTAAAATCTGGTTTCCCTCTGGGCAAGTAAGAGCATTAATGGTATTGCCAGTCCCAGGTCACTTGTCCTGTTGGAAATTCAACTAGCAGCAGTAGAAGATGGTATTTATCTCATCAGAAATCCTGGCTATGATTGACAGGGTGCCTATTAACATTTGGGTATGAATTGCACTAACAGGCAGAGAGTAAGAGACTTGTGAAGAGAAAAGTGTGGACACCCTGCCATTTGGTATTTGTCGCTTCTCTGTTCCTTTTTCAGTGTCTACAGGAATGGGGAAAACCAGAACTGTAACCTTAAAAATCAAAGATAACTATATAAATGTGTTGCTTTTATTACTTCTTTGGCAGATAATGGAGGTCCTTGGTCTACCCTAGGGACTACAACCAGAGAAAATAATTATGAGAAGAAATTTCATATGTGCTAAAGGCAATTTAATTGTGTAAAATTAGAGGACCCTGTATAAATCCTTCAGTAGAGACATTTTAGAAGCCAGAAAATTGAAATGGTTGAAAGCCACAAGCATAAAATTAGTACACGATTCACATTAAAGTCAAAAACAATTTAAAATGAGACAGATCAACAGTGTAGAACAGATATACTGAAGTTTAAATTAGGATCACACATTCAGTTATTACCTATTAATACTTCAATCTAACTTTTTATTTATATATTATGATAGGTACCTAATAAATAACTTTAAAATCTATCATTTCAATCCCTAAACTATTAATCCAGACTACCCAAAGCACAATCACAGAAATGGACCACTCTCAGTGTGTGTACCCTATTGTAGGCTGTATTTGGTTTGATCAATGTTCTCCCTGCAGTTTTCATGCATACTGTACTTGATCTTACCTGCATTCAATACAATAGCTGATAATTATTTTTTATATATATATCTGAGCTAAAAATTAATCAGAGAACAAAGAAATTATCTCCTTGGGTCCACATAGCACTAGGTGGTGTAAATCTGGGGCAAACACCAGAAAAAAAATGGGATGTTACCCACCTTCTACGGCATATTGCCCACTTTCATTACTGCGTTTAGTTCTGCAGTTAACTGCAGTGGTCCTGCCTGTGGTACAAGTGGGGACGTCATGTGGCATCTGCTGTAAGTGTTATTACAATACAAGTTAACCTAATTACAAGTTTTGGCAGCAGAGAGGCAGCAAATCATAGTAACACTTCTGTAATAACCCCTGTACAGGGGACAGGGCACACCCAAAACCCCCTCTACATTATGCAGCAGACACTCCTAGTTTAACTCACTTTCATGAGTGAGTGGTATTTGTTTGTTGAGCCTCTTTTAGCTGGGTTTTGAAGCAGATGAGGTGGTGTAGATTGGCTTTGAATTTTAAGGCCTATTTGTTCCCGTTTGTTTTGGTGACCTATTAGCTGAACGTTACTGCTTTGTAGACAGTAACCTGTTTAATTCTTCTCTTTTTTAAGGGTAGAGAACATGGCCATGAGATTGGAAGAAGTAAATGAGCGAGAGCACTGCATGAAGGCCTCTCTGCAGACCGTTGACATCAGGCTTGCTCAACTGGAAGACATGATGGGACGAATGGTGACTGCCTTAGAAAAACTGACCGGCATAGAGAGAGGTGAGACAACCAAGATACGATCCAGGACCTCATCTGACTGTACTGATGCAGCCTACATTGTGAGGCAGAGTAGCTTCAATAGTCAGGAAGGAAATACTTACAAGCTTCAAGAGATCATAGATCCCACGGGAGAGGAGTCCATGTCCCCAACATCTCCTACGATCACGCCCCGCATGCGAAGCCACTCTTTCTATGCAACAAATATGAAGGACAAATGTGGATTGGAAAAGTTTGAAAGCATTTTTAAGGAAAGATCTCCAAGCCTGCAACGGGCTATCAGTTCCCACTCCATAGCAAAAGAAGGAAAGGTTCCCTTAGCCCCTACCAGCACTTTGTCGATTGCCCCAGACTCCAGAAGGCCTTCGTCTTGTATAGACATCTATGTTTCTGCCATGGATGAAATGCATTCTGACACAGAGCCTCTTGACAGCTCCATAAATATTCTTGGTACCGGAGATGCAGCTCTGCAGGCCCACATAGCCTCTTCCATTTTAGCTAACAGTGCGTACATTAGCAGTACACCTGGCGAAAAAATTTCTGGCAGGAGTCTTGATTATGAGGAAACCTCTGGAATAGAAACAAGAGCATTTTCTTCAGACTATTCACAAATCACAGATTGCCAAATCCCCTGGGATTCAGATCCTCCCTTGTATCACACTTTAGAGCGATCTAAGAGCAGCCGTTATCTGGCTACAACTCCGTTTATTCTGGAGGAAACACCAATTGTGAAATCTCACAGTTTTATGTTCTCTCCATCTCGAAGCTACTTCAGCAGCCTTGGCATCCCAGTCAAAACAGCTGAGTACACAAGTATTACGGACTGCATAGACACGAGGTGTGTGAGTGCTCCCCAGGCCATTGCAGAGAGGGCCAGTTTCCCTGGAAGTCTTGGGGGCAAAGTGGAGGACTTGGGATGCTGCCACCCAGAGAGAGAAGCTGAACTAAGCCACCCAAGCTCTGATCATGAGGATATTGAGGCCAAAGACAAGAAGGGGATCCCCTTATCTCCTCAAGATGGCAATGCTACAAGAACTCTGGCCAACAGTATCCCACTTCCAAAAATAGAGCGGGCCAACAGCTACTCTGCAGAGGAATCCAACATGTTGTATGCACAGCACACACGGAAGAGCTACTCTATCAGCGACAAACTTGACAGACAGCGAAACGCAACAGGCCTGCGAAACCCCTTCCAGAGGAGTAAGTCCTCGAGGCCAGAGAGCAGAGGGGACAACCTGTCCATGAGGAGACTGTCAAGAACAGGAGCCTTCCGCAGCTTTGAAAGCAAGCACAGCTAGGCCTAGACAAAGCTCACTGGCAGTCTAAGGGTCATCCACTCTCCAGTCCATTTTTCTTAGCAGAATTAAAAAAAAAAACCTCACATCACCCTGTGTCAACTCCAGTTGGCATTAGCCACCGGTCAAGGGAGCACATTGTCAGTCTCAGCATCGCCCACTGAGTTACTGCATCTTGACCCAGTTGACATTTGCACTTAAGGAAAAAGGGAGGGATGAAAGCTTTACAAAGACTTCAGTAAACAACAGGAATAACAAGCCCCCTTTATGAAGTCACAAGAAATAAATGAGTAGGTTCAGAAATCTGCCTTTTATTAGAAGGCATCCTAAGATCTTTGATCATTATTCAAGTTTTTAGGATGCAGGAATTAACTGGCAAAAAGAGATGTACAAATTAGATGTTCTAAACTTCAGTCACGACTTCTTTTTCATCTGTTTCACCGTTGTGATGACTGATGAAAAGTGTTTGTTATTTCTGTAGGAACTGGCAGCAAACAAACCTAAAGTCTCCCAAATCCCTTGCATCCCACACTTGTGGAAATGAAGAAAGATGAACAAGATAACAACCACAATGTTCACTTGTCTCTTTTTGTATCAACTTCTAGTGCCACAAAAAGTTTATATTTTCAAGAGCAGAAAGGGAAATGAAATGCCTTTTGTACTGCAACTTAAACGGAGGAAGAATTTATGTTAAAATATCAGGTGATTTCCTGTATAAAACAGGCATTCTAGATTCTAGCACAGCTGAGCAAGCTCAGGATGAATGTAATTAAGCGGAATAGTATATATTTATTTTTTTACCACATTTGTCATCAATATGTTGTCTCACTAAATCAAAGGATGTGATGGAACAGTAAGAACAGGGTGATCAGAGCACAGCACAGTAATATTGTCAGGTTCTCACTGCTCTGTTTAATTACGTATATAAATTGGGGAGATTTATCCACCAGGCTGTACCAGGCTCTTCTTGCTGTTCCATTTGAGCTGCTGATTTTTCACATCATTCTCTCACCTAAAAATATACACTTTTTTTTTTTCATGAGGACATGGCCATATTTGAACATTTCAAAGTATACAAGATTTATCAAGCAGTCCAAATCCAGATTAACGCAATTAGACTGAAGTTGCCTGAGGGAAAATGTTCTTGGCAGAGGACTGGAAAACACTAAAAAGTATATATGCTTTTAAGGTAAGTTAAAGAACCAAAGTGAAACTGCAGGTGTCTGTAAACAGCAAAAGCCATCAGTTGCGACTAGGCTTCCACCGTTCAGCAGCATATCACGCAACGTGCATCTTAGTAGGAGAAAGTATATCTGAACGGTAGTGCAGTTACGGGTTTTGGTTGAAGACAGTCGTAACTCCACTGACCCCACCCATGTTCCAAGGGTCCACAATGTCAACCAGAGTTTCAGACTTCTCATGAGAAGATACCACAGTGGTCACAGGTGGAAGGGTATCCAGAAGATAGGAAAAGGGTGAAGAAGCATAAACTGCAACTGGAACAAAATTTCACATCCTATATGAAGGCACGACTTTTACGCTTGTAAAGAGTTGAAGCTAGTGCTATTAAAAATTAAAACATCTCTACAGTGACCAACATCTGTGTAGAACCAGCTCCTTTTTGTTATTAAAACCGAACACATGCAAGTGGGGTACATACTTCCCATTATTTAAATGGAAATTATTTTCCAAATCTCTAAGGCAGCTTTGAAAACACAGGCTGATGTTTTCTCACTGGGATCTCACCCTGGGAGACTCTGAGCACCGTATGACAGCTAAGTCTGAAAGGCAACAAATCCAGACATAAAAATAATCATCAGCCTCAAGAAAAGAGGTAAAGAAGGTGAAAACATTTAGGTACCAAGTCACTGCTTTGGAAAGTTCAGGAAATAAAGAAATGCAGCATGGGGACTTTAAGCACAATGTGTTTCATACTTCCTGCACCAACGTGTTCCTTGCTTTCTTCTATTTGATCAGGCTTTCAATGAGCTAAACTCCACCAAGACACCGTGTTTATGCAATTGCCTTGCAATCCATGTGCAGCGTTATAGTCACATGGCAACACCGAGAAAGGTCAGAAACCTTTCTGTGCATTATGAAGCATGCTTGTGACAGGCTCATTGTTGAACAATAGCAAAACACCCAGGGGCAAAGGAACTTGTGTTTAACAATCTGCTTCAAATGTGCCAACTTTTGTTAGCAGCCTTTTCCTAAGGCTTCTCCAAATCTATCTATCCTTGGTGAGTAGAGGGGGATATTCTCACTTTGTTTTCTTTGTTACTTTTACGAATGTCTGCTAAAACTGTTCGTGGACTCTTCCACCTTCACCATATTACTGGCCTACTCTAGAGGAACTTCAGATTCATTAGAAACTCCTTAATAGTGCTTAGTGAATTAGTTCAAGGCATAGGGCTCTCCTCTGGGGTAGATTTCATTGCTTAGTTTGTCAGGGTAAAGGAATTTGCCAAACCCAGAAGCTGTATAAATGTTTAGGATACAGCACTTTATTGATCTGGAGCACACATTCCAGGTAAAATGAAACAGGACACTTTATTTACCTCTTAACATTTGCCATTATATATAAAATGTAAATTCAGATGTTAAAAGTGTGATTGCAAGATGTCAGAACACTACTTTTCCTGAATGTTTCCCATTTATTCTACAATGTGGTGTCTATAGAATATATTATGATGGATGTTAGGTTATTTTGTCTTCACCTGTTTTTTACACATTGCATCAAACCGCTCCTTTTTGAATTTGATAGTAAAACACACATTCTTTGCAATGGGACCAGATTTCCCACTCCCGATATTACTATGATCATTTAGTGAGAGTAGAAGTCTTACCATCCATCATGTAGCTATAGCATGTGCCATATGACATATTCTGTATCAAAGGATAGCTTATGAAATAGATATATATACACACATATATTCATATCTCCCCTATATAAAGCAGTGTAGTTGTGACATGTGGTAATATTAGTGAATGTTACAGGACAGTTTTAATATCACATTATAAGGTCCTGTTTGTAAATCTGTAACATTCAATAAAATAGCACATGTTGCATCGAGCATTAATTTCCACTATCCAATTATTAGCTTACATATGGAATATGCATTTTTGGTCACAGTGTGTAAGTTTAGTATGTTTCACACATTTCTTTGTATATCTCCACTTAAACGTCTGTATGAGCTGATGTATAAACCTTTAATGAGCCACTGTGGGCTGTGACAGGTGAGTTGTGATAGTGTGAAAGATGAATTGGCATGTTATGCAAAAGATTATAAGATAAATGAACTTTAATAATATTTTGAAACTCAACTGAACTTAGCTGTTTGTTTACATATGCTGGCCGACTGAGGAAGCGGTGTACAGTATTTTATAAATATTTTCCTATAGTAATCCGTTCTGTTGTTTCCAGTTTAAGTGATGCTGTTCTACAGTTGGGGTATACACTTGTCCTAGGTATTGGATTATAGCACATTATTCTTTCACAATAACAGTGTGATATGACTGAAGTAGTTTCTCTTCCTTACAGTCCAGTCTTTTTTTGTGTCAATGAAAATGCATGCATTGTTCCATGAGTTTCTTTGGACTACTATGAGACTTAACATTTTGCTATTGCCTGCCTGTAAAGATGAATCCAGTTAGGAATGAATTCAAGCTTTTGGATGTTTACATTATTTCCATTATGTTTGATCTTTAGCAAAGTAAGTGATTTTTTTATTATTTTTAAATGACAATTGTATTTTATGAAATTGAAATATTCAACACAAAATGCGAACCTACAGCAGTGCTCAGACATTTGGCTCTCTCTTTTTTTGGAAGAGATAAGGTGCTACATTATTGTTCTTAGCACAAGTGCCAGTTAACAAATGGCAGTGAGGGGATAATTTGAAAACATAACGAAAAACCAAAACATCCATTCGTCCACATAAGGAAATCCCTCTGGGTTCCAGATATAGATTGCTTTTTTTTCATTTTCCATTTATAGACTTTTTGGTAAAAAAAAAAAAAGATTTGTACCGGTTGTGGAATGGATAGCCTTTTGTCAGGGGATAAATATCTTAGTTAGGTATATTTTTTGTATGAGAAGAAAATGATTTGTTTCTTAGAAACTGTCAGCGCATGGAAAATGCAACTACACTAATAACTGCTCAAAAAAAGTGCTGGTAGCAGCACACAGCCTTAGTCCAATGACTGCAGTCGGAGCAAACAAGTATCTGTCCTGAGAGCAGAAGTTATCAAAGGTATTAGCTTAGAGAGAGCCAGTGAAACAAAATTCTCTGTAAACACATGGTGCAAATTTTCAAAACAAGCATAAATGTCTTGTTATGTTGCTCAGGTTATATACTTAAGAGGATCTGATAATCACCAGAAGGGAAAATGTGAGCTGGTCATTCCTGGATTTCCCTAGGAATACTTAAGTAGTTGTGATGTCTCTCCCCTGCTTAAAAATAATAGTATATTTGCATTTTTGCACAAATAATGCACAACTGTTTCAACAAAGGCCACATTTTCAGTTCTGTTAAAAGATACCAGGTATAGATCACCTTCTTCAAAGGAAATGGGAAAGCTTCCTAGCATGAATTTTCCCTCATCCACCTCAAATAACAGCACAGTCCAAACTGGGCAGAAGTAAACTGTTGGGGGTGCCTGCTTACCTAATGAAATCCTTCCTTTCTCTAGATGGTATTCGCTGGCCTTGCCACACGTTGGCATAGAAGCAGCAGTGTTGAATGTGGAGGGACTGAGTTTCTGCACCCCACTGAGAGTTCTCCTGCTTTATAGCCAATCACAGGGTGAACACTGCAGGTCACACAGGCCTCTCTTCTCCGAGATTGACTATGATTATGGTCTTACTGATGCTGGTGCAAATCAGCAGAAAATCCACTGATTTCAATGGAGTACTCTGCCTTTTGTCAGAGGATGGATTTATTCTGCGTTTCTAACTCTATATTACTTTGAGTCATGACACAGATTATCCTAAATCATCATCA